ATAATTAGAATAATTATCGAGTTCCAACAAAATAAATAATTATTATCTTTATAAAAAAATTATATTATTAAACCAAATATAAATTACTTCGTTATTGTATATAAATTAAATTATAAAAAAACTGAATTAAAAAATTATACAAAAAAATGAGGAATTTCAAATAGTTAATTTGATACTAATCTCGATATATTTTTGTCAAATTTTTATGATATCTTCAAACATATATTTTATTCAAAAATAAAAACATCATCACTTTCTCAAAATCACATAAAGCCATATTATAACATCGACTGAGATAAAGAATAAAATGAAATATTAAAATCATGATGTATCTCGCTGCATTGCGCGAGTACGCTTCTAGTATATACTAATACTAGGAGGGTACTCTCTTAGCTATTTCTTTTCAAGAATTATACAAATGTCACCTCTTTCACGATTTCAATTACGGACCTAATTAAATGACAAAAATAATTCAAGTTTTAACACTTGTAAAAAGATTTGTGGGCGTGAGGAAAATTGTAAAAGATTGTGAACGTGGATGAAAATGTAATTTTTTACGGATATAGATGAAAAATGTAACAGAATTTACAGATGCGGTGAAAATGTAAAAATTTTATCGTATAGTTAGGTCATCAATTAAAAAAAATTACATTTATATAAATTTTAAATCATAAGAACCAAAAAAATAATGAATTATGGAAGGTTTGTTGCCATCGTCATGCCTATCCAGTCTCCCACTGATAGCTGGATCCCTCTCAACCCTCACGTGTCGTAACTCTAACCCTACCCCAACCCCAACCACCGCACCGCCATTCTCCCCCACCACTCTCTCACGGCGGTCGCTCTCCCTTCAACTCGCTACTTTTGGTTATTGGATATAGGAACTTGTTGAATTAACCAAACCGACGATTTCACCGGTGGGATCTCCTTCTTTCTCTCTTCCATAGTTTTGAAAATTTTCAACAAAATTGCACAATTTACTGGATTCCATTCGCACTAGTAGGACAGTCGTCTTTCAATTCGCATCTCCGTTTAAGGCGGCGGCAGAACAGGTCAGACTCTTTCTTCCTCTCTATTCGTGTATATTCGCATGTAAGAAGAAACAGATATTATTATGCAGGACCTGGACCTGGATCTGATTGTTATTGTTTTTTCATTTAATTTGTCGACCTAATTTCTTGAAAATTGATTTTCATGAAACTTGAATTGTGCTACAGTAGGTGTTTTTGTGTGGAATGAAGTTAAAAATCCAGAATTTCTTTATTGTTTTGATGATTGCGGTTTCTATATTTCATAGAAAAATTGAAGCTAATTTAATTAAAACAACGTGGTTACCCGGTCCCTTTATTACTGAAAATTGATGATTCTAAGAAGAAAGTTATCGATTAACTAAAGATTTTATCGATATGCCAGAAGAAAACACAATAAAGGAGGTAATTGTTGCTTGAGAATCCAAAGGTTGACCAAAAGCCGAAGTCTCATTAAATTTGGGACAGAGGGAGTATCATGTAGCTCTCTCAGAAGAAAGTATTTGAGTTTTTTTTAATTAAAAAATATTAAACTTTTAAAAATTGGTTAAATATATCTTTTTAATTCAAAAGAATTATTTGTAATCGGCTAAAAAAGCTTTAAGTAGAAAAACTTAAATCTGTATTACTGTTTGGTCTACACAATTCAAACCCCTCGGAAGTCAGACCCAACGCCCCCTCCCCCAAAAAAAAGAAGAAGAGAGAGTGATAGGAAAGGCCAACGATGACAATGGAAGGTAATGGAAAGCGGATGACGATGGGGTGGTAAGGGGGAGCGACGGTGTTGGGTGCGAGAGGTTTAAATTACGTTTAGGAACGATAAAACTGCTACGTTCTTTTGACCTTAAAACATTCCTAACCGGTAACGGTTAGTTTTTTATGGGTTAAAAAGATGTAGGTACCAATTTCTAAAAGTTTGATGAGTTATTTATCTAAAGCAGTTATTAGACTTAATTATTCAAAATAAGAAAATTCAATAAATTTGTATATTTTAAAAAAAAAAAAAGTTCAAAGACTTTGGGGCCGTTTACCTAAATACTTACCTGGTAAGTGCTTAATGTTAGAAGTCAACACTATAATTTTATTTTTTTGGTAAGATTGTAGTACATCAAAACGTATCCTATACAACAATTTACCTGATAAGCGCTTACCTAGGTAAGAGTCGTCATCCTCACTTACTGCGTAAGACTCTCCATCCTTATCATCGTTCTTACCGGGTAAGATTCTTGGCCTTTGTCATGTTCATCCAGTGAGAAAAATTACCGGGTAAGCGTTTAGTAAACGGCCCCTTAGGGTCTTATACCCAAACGCCCGATAGGATTCAACACTCTTAACTTACTTTACTGGGTAAAATTGTTATGCATCAAAATGGTATCACATGCAACAATTTACCCAGTAAGTATTTATCATAGCTTATAACGGGTAAAATTATCG